CCTCCTCCCTCAGACCCAGGAGTCTGCACCCCCCAGCTCCCTCCTCCATCAGACCCAGGAGTGTGGAACCCCCAGCTCCCTCCTCCCACAGACCCAGGAGTCCAGGCCCCCCAGCTCCCTCCTCCCACAGACCCAGGAGTCCAGGTTCCCAGTCCCCTCCTCCCTCAGACCCAGGAGTCCAGACCCCAGCCTCCTCCTCCCTCAGACCCAGGAGTCCAGGACCCAGCCCCCTCCTCCCTTGGAAACAGGTAGTGGGGCCCCCAGGGCACACAAACTCAAACCCAGGAGTCTGGGCTCCCTCACTTGGAGATTAACAGAAGGGGCACAGCAAAAGCCTGGGTCCCCAGGAAAAAGAGAAAGTCCTGGACGGTCTGCGGCAGGGTGTAAATAGACTCAGGGATGTGGGCCCAGATGGACGACTGCCCTCGGAATGGACCGCACAGCTTGGAAGGTGGGATCCTGAGGAGCGCAGAGACAGGCAGTGTTCAAGGATGGCGGCGATTCCGAATCCTGGATAAGGGTGGAGGGGGCGGGGGCAGGCGCCTCTCACACTTACAGGAAAAGGCTGTAAAGCACGGGCACGGCGGAGATGGCCAGACCCAGGAGAAGGACCAAGGGGAAAAAGAAATTCACTGTGGAAGCCCGAAAAGTGCGGGAGGCCGGGGAGCAGGTGGAGAAAAGGGTGAGCTGTCGCGAGGAGACACAGGACTGTGAGTCCTAGCCTGTCCTTTTTCGTCACCCAGGAGTCAGTCAGGAACCACAAGGCTCTAGTCCTTTGCTGCCATCAGAGCGGGAGTCTGGGTCCCCTCTTCCCTTGGACGGACAAGTTAAGACGCCCTAAACTCCTCCTCCCACATCTAGGAGTCTGTCCTCCAGACCCCTCCTCTAATAGTTGGGGATCTAGTAGTTGGGGACCGTTGCTTCCATCCTCCTCCGGGACCCAGGAATCCGCCACACTCCTCACCTTCTTCAAATAGAAAAGTAGCAGGAACTTGGCCGTGTTGAGCAGAGGTAGTAAAGGGCAGAAAAAACTCCCTACCCAGACCACCGTCTGCGCGTAGATGAGCCCGAGCACCTCGTCGGGCACCTGGAACTCCTGGGTTCCCACCACACGACCCAGCGTCCCGGGACAGAGGCCACAGAGCAGTCTGGGGGCGGGGCGGGGCCGAGTCAGAGGCCTGGTGGCCCGCACTGCCCCGCCTCCACCGTCCCGCCCACCAATCGGAAGTCAAGATATCGAATAGGCGTGGAGCTTTCAAAGTCCTGGAGTGGGTGTGTCCAGAGGTCGACCCCAGAGGGCTGGAGGTAGGGGCGGGGGCAGAGGGAAGTAACTAGGTAATGGAGGGGAGGGGTCTGCGGACATAGGGCGGAGAGACGGAGCAGAGGCGGGGCTGGTAAGGGGGATGGGGCACTGTGAGGGGCGGGGCTCGCACTTCCGAGGAAACTGGACGAGCAGCAGGACAGCCAGGCCAGTCAGCAGATCAAAGAGCAGGAGTTTGTACATCTCCTGCCCCAGCCGAGTCTCCCAGCACTGAGGAAGGAAGTCATGGGTCAAGAAGACCTCGGGACCCTGGCACCCGGAGGCGCAAGCATCCAGGTCTCCAAATCACAAGCGTGTGAGATCCTAACAATCCTTTCTCTGGGGCGGGGGCTCAATTTTTTTGTTTTTGTTTTTACCATCTGTACCCTTGTCCTCAGTGGGAGGGTGTTCTAGCACCTTAAACTCCTCCTTCCTCTCAAACCTGGAGTCTGGACCCTCAGAGACCCAGGATTCGAGGCCCCTCTCCTTCTCACCGGTAGTTCCTTGTAATTGTAGCCACAGGTTTTGCACTCTTCAGCCTCAGCCTTGCCCTGGCAAGTGATCTGATTCCAGAGAGAGAAGAGCAGAACTAGCAGGGAGGCCAGGCGGAGAAACACGGTCCTGGCAAGGGGAAGGGGAAAGGAATCAGCACTGACCAGTGCTCACCCGAAACCCGCTGCCCGCAAGAGTGTGGAACACACGGTTCTCCCCACTTCACAGATGAAGAAACCCAAGCTCTGTGAACAAGAATCAGGATTTGAATCCAGATCTCACTGGACCCAGAATTCTGGGGATTTCCGTGCCTTATGTACTAGAGCCAGTGTCCTTCAGGCCAGCCCTGCCATCATCCCCAGCACACCCCCAAAGGCTAGAACCTGAGCAGGATAAAAACAATCTGGCGGCTCCTGGTGTAGCCCTCCAGTGGGGCAATGAGCTTGAACACAGGTGGCAGCAAGAAGTTGACCCCAGAGATGAAGATGGATGGAAGGTAATCCACCCCTAGCTTGAGCAGTGGCATCTCCTGGACAAGGGACATCTCCTGGGAGAGAGGGACCAAGCAAAGAGACCCTAGGGTTCTGGTCCTTCAGAACCTTGCTGAATATCTTCCCCCAGCCTCTTCCTCCAGCATCCCAAAGTCCAAGGTCCAAACGTACACCCCATCCCTCTTCCTAAAATCCCAGGAATTATAGACTTCAGTCCCTTTTAACCTAGGAAATGTAAGTGCTGGAACCCCAGGACCCTTCTCCCCCAGGACCCTCCACACCTGCAGATCCACAGTGGCCCCTGTAGCCCAGTAGACTCCATAGAAGGCTGCTGCCAGGAGTGCAATCACCAGCAGATTGATCAGGATGCGCACAGACCACACCCGGGCTTGCTGGCCCAGGGTCCGCACTGCAGCCTGGCGCTGCACCACAGCTTCCTCCAGCTCCACCTGAGGCCAGGAAAGATGTCCATTTGGGCTCAATTCCCCCAGGCCCTACAGAGGCCTTCTGTCAACCTGAACCGATACAGCAACACCCCTCTAGGGAGTTCTACAATCCTTGTCCCAGTGCCTCCTTGGTCCTCTAGGGGACAATTTAGATCTCCCGGCCCCGCCCCTCCACAGCCCCCCTCCAGCACCCCACACCACAGGCCACGCCCCAGCACTCCACACCCCGCCCCCTCAAGGCCCCAGCCAGTATCCCTAAGCCCCGTCCCCTGAAGGCTGAGCTAGCGCTCCACATCCTGTCCTCCCACGCACCGCCCCCTGAGGCCACGCCCATCGCAGGCCCCGCCCCCTGAGGCCTGGACCTGTGCTCCGTATCCTGCCCCCCTGAGGCCCCGCCCAGCACGCATGCCCTGTACGGAATTCCAGTTCTATCAAGCTCCTTCTGACCATGCCTATCTCTTCGCCTGTATGGAGGAGCGTCCGGCCCCGCCCCTTCCCCCTCAACCGCACCCCCGCCGCCGCTCGCTTTTTCCTAGACCCTTTGTCATCATCAGGTATCCCTATTGCCGTCTTATGTCCCAAGGCCCGCCTCCTTAGAAGAAAGCTCCACCCGGCGTTTCTGAGCCCCACCCCCTCTCGGGGCCCCGCCCACGTTCTTGGCCCCGCCCCCTCTCCCTACCTACTTGCACACCCCATCCCTAAGCGCACCTGCAACTCGTAGAGGATGCTGCGCTGGCGCAGCCGCACGTGCGCATCCCCACAGAGGCCGAAGTCCCAGGCGGTGAACACCCGGTGGCTGAAGCTGGTCAGAGCCCCTGACTCGGCCAACAGCGTCTGTTTGAGTCCTGACACGGAGCTAAGGGAGGGGAGAGCCAGGAGACGGGGTGTGGAGGGTCAGCCCTTCGCAGGGGTGTGGGGGCACCCCTCTCATGGGACTCACAGGGAAATGAACCCGAGGACCTTGGGCGTTGGGTGAGCTGCCACCTAGCAGAGAAAGAGTCAGAGACCAAGAGAGAGAGAGATTCAGGGGCCGACTCGGGAAGACAGACACCCAGCGGATAGCGACAGAGCTCCAGAGAAAGGCGCACAGGGACCCAGACTGAGAAAAACAAAGACCTTGGGGAGAGACACATTTAGAAGGGAGACTGAGAGCCCAAAGGGGGTAGGATTCAGAGAAAGGGGGACAGTAAAACGAAGGCAAGAGGTCTAGAGAGAGGGGTCAGAGAAGTCTAGAGAAGGGGGTGGAGGAGGAAGGCCCAGAGAAAGGAGGGGAGATCTCCAAGGGGTGGGGCAAAGACCCAGGGAGGGGACAGAGAAGCAGAGAGAGGGGAAAACACGGAGAAAAATGGGCCAAGAGGCTCAACGCCCGGGTGCAAGCCCCCGGCCTCTCCCGAGTGGACAATTACAGATGCCTGATCCCTGGTCTTTGATTCCACCTGTGCCCTCTTGAATCTATTCTGTTTCTGCGCCAGTGGAACCTTCTTTTTAT